AAGTCTGTAGTCCTTCCCTATACCTAAAGTCTGTAGTCCTTCCCTATACCTAAAGTCTGTAGTCCTTCCTACTGTGCCTGTTTCCTTACAGCAGGTTTTACAGTCTAATTCTCCCTAGGGCACAGAGTGATGATGAGTAGTAACACTCCACCTGTAATTATAGTGTCACCCCTCCCCCCCCTACTGCAATGATGCCTGTATTCACAGTATCTGCACCCTTGATAATCATATGCTATGATTTCCATGTGTGATTTTCATAGTAGTGAATATATTTGCATGTTTATTTATTTATTTTAATGGCACACAGAAGATACATACAGAAGTGTATATATTAAAGAGATTTATATAGTCCAGAGTCCAGACATAATTTTCACCAGGGGGGGCTAAAGAGCAAAATCAAAATGATTCAATGGTTTAGCAGTCAGCAATGGCATGTTGTTCCTTAAATTAATAATGTCAGTATTTGTTTAAACTGGCAATACATTTCGCGTAAAATATGCTTTTTAGAGTTTGGCTGTTTCACTTCAGATTTTTATTTTTTTAATGCAAATCCCTATTTTAAATTTCAGCTTTGCGCAAACAGTTGCTTTCAGGTTCATTTCAGTTGAACTATACGTACTTCACGCATAAATATACAAGTTGTCTGCCAGCTTAGATTAGTTGACTTTTTTGGCCTGCTTATATTTTACATTAAAGACACATTAAAAAGGAACAAAAACCAAATCTGTTGTCACAGGTTTTCAAGATGCCTGGGGATATGAGCTTAGCAAAGCAAACCGTCCCGGAAAGGTAACCGGGGGGGTGCTACAGGCGTCTTACTACTCATCACTGAAAGGGACTCTCATTGTGCGACCCTGTAGCATGTGGAGGATCTGCTGAGTCATAAAATGAAAGACTGATTAATGGCCATTTAATGATTAATGTCATAGCAGTGATCACCTGCAAATGAATAAAGCATCTGTGTCCTGGAAGAAAATTCATGACAAGAACAAAGTAAACAGATGGGAGACCTTTTACATGGCAATGAAACTTGCAAAAGAAAAGCTGATCTTAGGATATTGGTAAAAATACTGCAGCCCAGTAAAAGACTTTCTTGCATGGATCTTGTCTCAAGCATAAGTACTGAGAGTTCAAGTCAACTGGGTCTGATTAGGGGGAAGGGGAGCAAACACTGAGAAATATAGTAGATTTCAGTGCCATCGAGCTACTGAATATGTCTCTGAGCACTAGAACCCACTTATATATGGGAGTGCAATTCAAATATTTTGCAGGTAAATTTATATGTTGGATATGTTGATGAACAGAACAGAATGAACAGAATATATACACATTTGTACGAATTCCTCTTTTAATCATTTCAGGTAATTTCAAATAATTATTTCACATTTATGCCCTGTGATGGGCTGGCCCCCCATCCTGGGTTGTTCCGCGCCTCGTGCCCGTAGCTTGCGGGATGGGCTCCGGACCCCCCACAGCCCAGAAGGATAAGCGGTTTAGAAAATGGATGGATGGATGGATTTCACATTTATTTATGAATATTCCATACTATTTACACCTACAGTATTTCTTTTTTAAATTTTAAAAACATTGCTAGCTAGGAACTAGCAATGCAGATAAATGGCCTCTAAACACCCATAATTGAAATCTGAGATTTTTTTTCTAAAAATGTAGTTTACATTTGGAACATATTAAATCTCATGTTGATTAAGCAGTTTTCGCCTGGATTGCAGCATTGATCATGTTTATTGACTTGATCTACAGCAGATATCCTTTCTGCTTTTCCCTGGAAAAATCAAAACCTTTTTCAGACAAAGATTTGCAGTAACATGCATTGTGAAATAAGAGTTTCCTTCTGTGGTTCACTACTGGTAAAAGTGGGTGGTAAATGATATTTAACAGCTTAACGTGTTAGCCCAATTATAGCAGTTATTAAATTATTCCACAATTTTGCACAGGAGGGGAAACCAAAGGCATATTTTGGATTACTGATTCATGTGTTACTGATAGTGGTTGAAATGAGGCATGCTCTAGACCAGGGGTGGCCAGTCTTTTCCAGAAAGGGCTGTTGTGTATGTGGGTTTTTGCTGCAACTCCCTAATTAGATTAGTAATTAAAGGACTGATTGGCTGAAGAGTCCTCACACCTGGGTTTGAACAGCTGATCTAAAGGTTATCCCAAAACCTGCACACACACTGACCCTTTGTGGATAAGATTGGCCACCCCTGCTCTAGACATTGAAGGAAAGAGAAAAACAACAATATTGTTTTTATGAAATCTTCTGGAAACTCGTGACTGCAGTCGTGCAGAATGTACTGCCCCCTGTGACTCTTGTGTATTACCTCTCCTGAGGTCTTGATCACAATGCAAATCTTTTTATTATTCAATGGATGTTGAAGTTGCGCTCATTTTTAAACAGAGGTGCAGCAACAAATCATTCAAATGTCACTGTAGAACTACAAACAGTTTGACAGTCATGAAGCTTATTTGTCGTCCCAATGTACATGGGTATATTAAACTGTTAGATTTAATTAGGATTATAGTGGCAATCTTGTTGCTAGGAAAAACAGCAGTTATATTAATTCATCATGAGATCACTTGTAACTCACTCTATGCTAGATTTTGGTATTGTGCAAAATTTTGAGCCACACATGCTTTCAAATTTTTGTACGAAGGACTTTTAAGATTAGAAAGCGTTGATCACTGTATCAACCACAGAACATAAGAATGTATTAAGTGAATCATTGGCATAAATCGGTTGTTGAACCATCATGGTATCTTAACTATGTTGTACTATCCAATTACCAGTTTTTCACTATTAGATCAAGCAACAATAAGTTTATCAAATGCAGTTACAAGAAGGAAACAATATTACTACATTATAAAGCAGAAAGATAAACAACATCCTTAACCGAAAATCTCTAATAAAGACATCAAACAAATAGTGATTTCCATATGACAATTGTATGTTGAGCATTTTATCTGTCAATTAAGCGGAAATTCAGTTAAATCAGGAAAATGAAACAGGTTTATTTTTACACTGTTTGTATTTTGTCCTAAAAGTCTGCCTGGGAAGTGCTTGATTTATTGGTCATACAGTAGTTATGTTTTTAATTTTTATTATGCTGTTCATTGCAGTGAACTCAAATGCTGGAGGATTGTGTTCTCTCATAAGAGAATACAGTGCAAAACCCAAATGAACAAGAGGCAAACAATTTCTATTCAGATTTCACAATTTTTTTTTTTTACTGAAATGCTTACTGAAATTATCATTTTTATTTTTTTTTTGGAGGGGGCAATTTTTGCACACTCAATACATTATGGAAAGGGGAAATCAAAATAATTCCTAGCTGACTTAGAAGACTTACCGTACTCAAGAGTATCTGCATAGGATGAGCCAGCCTACTGTACTCATAAACACTGATTACACAAAACATAAAAACTGAAACATTGTAAAGATTATTCTCTTTAAAAATCCAAAAGTCTTGTCTGCAGGTTCTTTACGGTACATTTTTCTGGTGTGTTGCAGGTTTCAGCCTGGGGAGGGTTTAGTCATCTACCCCGAGATAGGAGACAAACTGGACATTATCTGCCCCAAAGCAGAAAGCGGACAGCCGTATGAATACTACAAGCTGTACTTGGTGAAAAAGGATCAGGCACACACTTGCAGCACCATCATGGACCCCAATGTGCTGGTCAACTGTAACAAACCGGAAAAGGACATCAAGTTCACCATAAAATTTCAGGAATTCAGCCCTAATTACATGGGCCTGGAATTTAAAAGGAACATCAACTACTACATAACGTGTAAGTTGTTTTCTATGTTTCTATGAATTGCTGAATGGGAAATGTGTATTACTATTACATCAGAAGCATTCTTGGGAGGAGCCGTGCATAGGCTCACCCATAAATGTGAACTCTTCAGAGATTAAGCAATTACAAATAGGGGTTAATAAAACAGTATTTCATTTGCTTTTCGTTGGGATTAATGGTCTCCCCCACAACCATAAACATGATTTTGGTCTAATGTTAAATCTGTCAATTTAAAATCTATTTGTATCAATATGCAGATATGCCATGTGCATTTACATAAACACCAGTCATGAGCAGGAAATTGCAAAAAGTATTACAACCTCACCAGCAAAAATATACAATATGAGCATTTCTAGTGAGTTCAGGCTGAGCTTGGCCTTAGGGTTTAAACATAGAAATACAACTTCACCTGACAGTGCATGGCCACCTCTCTCAGCCTTTAGTTGTAGCTGATGACATCATCACCCCTCCCCTCCCTCATTTGCACTGTTAGGCTGGATCTGTTAGCCTTTGCCAACATGTCCGGTGTGCGTTTCGTCATGGAGATTCAGCACACCCGGGGAGAATAATCAGATTGCAACTGTCTTTCTATATTGAGATTTAAAGGAATATTTTCAAACAAAGCAGTGCGAACTGAACAGGTCTGGAAAAAAGATCTGTAGTAAATATGCTGAGTGGCCACATTATTAAGTATCCCTGATGCAAGCAACTTGCTTCTCCAAAGAGTGAATCGTGTTGCTGCGACTGAATATATACAGCATGCAGACAGGGTCATGAGGTTTAGTTACTGAGTAGCTAAGCATGAGAATGGCTAAGACAAGTGATCTAAATGCTTTTAAACATGGTATATTTGTTGGTGCCAGACATGATTTCAGCATCTCAGAAACGACTGGCTCCTCTTTATTGAATTTTTATGTTCCACAGGGTCTAGAGCAGGGGTCACCAAATTTTTTTGAAACTGAGAGCTACTTCATGGGTACTGAGCCAAACGAAGGGCTACCAGTTTGAAACGCCCTAAACTTGATGTATAATAAACATGTTTTAAATGCTTTTTTTAAAATATTGTCATTTTCAAATCTATATAAATGCAAGTGATTAAAGAAGAATAGCAACAGGATAAAATTAAATTTTAGACGCTGCTCACTGGTGAGTTGTGCTATTTTTAGAACAGGTCTGCGGGCGACTCATGTGGTCCTTGGGGGCATCCTGGTGCCCGCGGGCACCATGTTGGTGACCCCTGGTCTAGAGATTACAGAGAATGCTGTGATAACCAAACAGAAATAGGCAGTAAGTAGGGTTAGGGTTCTGCTTGAGAGAGGTCAGAGGAGAATGGGCTGAGCTATTAAAGTTAACAGGAAGACCGGATGTGCAGAAAGGGCAGCTCACAGTGATGTGGTCTGAAGGGCAGCTCACAGTGATGTGGTCTGAAGGGCGGCTCACGGTGATGTGGTCTGAAGGGCGGCTCACAGTGATGTGGTCTGAAGGGCAGCTCACGGTGATGTGGTCTAAAGGGCGACTCACGGTGATGTGGTCTGAAGGGCGGCTCACGGTGATGTGGTCTCAAGGGCGGCTCACGGTGATGTGGTCTGAAGGGCGGCTCACGGAGATGTGGTCTGAAGGGCGGCTCACGGTGATGTGGTCTGAAGGGCGGCTTCTCTCAATGCGCAGCTTAGAGACAAAAGGGGGCCCTACCTGATACTACACAGGGGTGCCTAATAAAGTGCCTATTGAGTGTAGTGTGTTGCCGTCTTTTATTACACGAAGGGGACCTATTCAACTTTTTCATGAGCACTACTTCTGTGATGCCTTAGCTTGTGTGGATGATGCACTTTAGATGCAAATGACTGTACTGATTCAGGTATTTTGAAAATCAAAGCAGGGTTATTCAGAATATTACCCCTGTCGTGCGTACTGCTCCGTCAGCCTTAAACACTGAAAGCACTTTGATACCTACACTCGATGCAGATACTAACACAGAGAAATGGAATGAAACAACTTTTCTTAATTTGTTGCATAAAAGTGTACATATTGTATTGAGTGCTCTTTTGAAATAACGGCTAGTATTCTGCATTCCCCTGTGAACTGGCAACAGTATAAATGTATAAAGTCTTGTTTAATTGTTAGTCTTATTTATAAAGAGATGCATTTATCTCCATTAATCATAAATACGAATGAAGGTAAGGCAGCATTAGCTAGGTAGCTCACTTTGAGTTTATACAACAGTCTTCTTCGCTTGTGGTGGCATTGACAATGTGAGAGATCAAGCTCCTCTACACAAGGAGAAAGGCGATTACTAACATAGACCTCTACCTGTGCTGTCTGTTGGGGGTTCCTAAAGCAGGTTCCCCTAGCTGTGCCCGTGTAGCCAGGAAGCATCCACTCTAAATTGCTGGGTGGCCACCAGTTTGTGGGATAATGCTGCAGTATAATGAAGTCTGGTTACTCTGACTAAAGAGGGAGACATATTGAAGCAATTATACTCTCCAGTGCATCCAGGTTCCCAGCCTTCTGTGGTGTGTTCTCAGTTCTGTCCACTTCTGCTTTAGCTAACTAGAAAAAAACTAAATTTTGTTTTTATTGTTATTTGTTATTTTTGTCTTCAGTTTAAAAAGCGTAATGGTCTCACTGAAGACGCACCCGGAATGGCCGGCTGTAGATCGGTTTCCTGTAGGTCCACTTGGGACAAGCATGATGAGTAGTGACAGCTGCCACTCTGAAGGCAAACCCCTGACCATATTCATGTCATTGCTCTGGGAAGGGAGCCCATTTGCACTGAGGCCCAAAACATGGGCAGGAGGGAGTCAGCCAGTATGTCAGAGGACAGGAGTGAGGGATGCGATTGAAAGGCTGAGGTTAAAGCCTCTCCAGGAATCAAGGGCCAGCTGATTTTAATCAAAATGAGCAGGGAAGTCAATGCTGTTATAATGACACTTATGTCTGGGTGTTTATGTGACTACCAGACAAGTTTGGTTGTGTTTTTTGATGTATTAAATTAAGAAATGAGTTGAAGTATTGTGACAGTAATAGTTCTGTGAAACATTTTTCTATCTTTGAAATCAAAGAAAACGTGTTCAGCTTTTTCATCTGTGTACTCTTTCAGAAATGTAGGCTGTTTGTTAATAAGTCCACCAGTGGCCGAATAATTTTCCGGACAAAACAGCGGCTTTTACCATTTAGGAAAGATCAATTTATTAATTTATTTATTTAATTTCTGGGAAAACCAGAAATATAGCATGTTATTTTTTTATTAATAATAATAATAATAATAATAATAATTGCGCCCTGTAATTCCTCAGGCTACTATTAACTGCTTGTCCTTCTTTACTTACAACATTTTTTTAAAGTAAATATCACAAGCTCAGTAGCTTGTATTTCTCTCCTGTACCTCACTGTCCGGTTGAATCACTACGGACTGGAACAGGAGTGCCTGCTATTCAGGATGAAGCGCTGGCTCAGCGGGGAGGGGGGGGGGGGGTCATGCAGGATGGCCAGAGTCTCCAAACAATGAGTGGGCCAGATGCTGGTGGACCTTGGTAATGCCCAGCACTGCTCCGGCCTTCTGCTGGCTCTCTGGCTGTCGCTGCTCTGCCAAAAGGCATTGGGGAGCAGCTTTAATCCCTGGCCAAGCTACAGTGTCACAGTCCAGAGTCATTTTCATTTTGATTTCTTTGGGAGGCACAAACTGGGGGCATTCTGTAGAGGCGTTATACGGTTCAGATGGTCAAAAAATATTATTCCTGAAGGCTGAATTTGCAGTATTTTTAGAGGTGTTTGGTTCTTTAAGTAAGATTTAACACACATTTTAGTCTTCCATTTTATTAACTAAAAATTAAACTAATTAAGTGAATGCTATGATACTATTTAAGAAAAAATTATTTTTTATGGAAGTAAATGTGGCTTGTATTCTTTAGGTTACTGCCTTGGAGACTGTTTGTATCATAAAAGTAACACTTTATTTGAATCTGTCATTTATAATGCACTGTAGATACATTCATAATGCATTATAATGGTTGGTATAAGAATTACGGATACTTTTTATTGCATAATGGAGGTTTGTATGCTGCATTATAGATGAGAGCTTAATAAAGCATTCATAATGCATAAACCTGGCTATAATGTGTTGTGAATGTGTTTATAGATTCTTATAAACATGGCAATCAAAGGCAGCATTACTATCATACTAATCTATAAAAGCCATAAAGCCTTCTTATATTCACTCAGAGTACTTAGCTCAAGCATTATCTGCTAAATGTTACGTCTTTTAATTGTGTGCCATTTTTCAATTAAAATCATTCATCGTTAACATTACCATCATGTGATGCTGCAATTATACCCTCAAAGCCAATTTTCTATTTTTTTCTAAGACTCAGAATGGTACAGAGAAAATGTGCTGTGGAATAACACGAAATCTCTCACACATCACATAGAACCAGGTTTATCCAAGCTGCAGGGATGGAGTCCTTGATTAGTTCACAACAGAGAGATGTGAAAATAAATACCAGCATAGCGTAGTGCAGTGATTTCTCTCATATGTTAACACTGTTTTTGTGTGTCAGTAATGTTTAATTATTTTGTGCTGACAGAATTTTACTAAATAAGGTTTTTAACACATTTTGGTTAAAAAGATGTTTTTGTTTAAATAATGTGTCACAATAATGAGTAATAATAATCAATGATGATTTTTTTGTTTCCCATCAGATAAGCAATTCTTTATGATGATTTGAACATACAGAAAATGAAATTTCTTACATACTACATAGATTTATTTCTCATGTTTTTAAAGGTCATTGCAGGTACTTAATTAATTTTACAGAATAGATTCTTGATCCTTGCCTCACCCCAAGGTGCCGGTTTGCTGTTCTAAGAATTAACTCGGACCCAATGATTCACAATGTGTGCGGAAGTTGAATAGCAGGTCACATTAGAACAGCCATCTGATTCTAATCTGGAGGACATAACCTTGGCTTTGAAGTGCTGCCGTATGAGCCGCGACG